CTTGTCAGTGTTAGGGCTGGGATTTGAATCGAGGCCTGCTGCCTCCTGAGTCTGACCACAGTGTCAACCCTGGGTGCTCAGCTGAGTTTTGTATCTGCCTGTCATGCGTAAATTCCTTCAGGCTAATTTACATGAAATCACTTTCATCCTCTGAGTAGACATTAGCTGTCATTTTTTAAAAAATAGATTTTTAATTATTTGTATAATGTACTGTGTTAGGCTGTTCTTGCATTGCATAAAGAAATACCTGAGACTGGGTAATTGATAAGAAAACAGGTTTAGTTGGCTCATAGTTCAGAAGGCTGTAGAGGAAGCATGGCACCAGCATCTCCTTCTGGGGAGGCATCAGGGAGCTTACAAAGCAAAGCAAAGCAGGGGCAGGCATCTCACACAGTGGGAGCAGGAGCAGGAGAGGGGGGAAGGTGCCACACACTTTTAAATGACCAGATCTTGCAAGAACTCACTATCACAAGGACAGCACCAAGAGGAAGGTGCTAAACCATTAACGAGAAATCTGCCCCCATGATCCAAGCACTTCCTACCAGGCCACACCTCCAACGCTGAGGATTACAGTTCAACATGAGGTTTGGTTGGGGACACACATCCAGACTGTATTATGCACCAGTACATGTAACAAATTAAACATCATTAAACAAATTAAAGTTCAAACATCACGGAAAATACTGGAGACATGGTTTTATTTGGCTAACACTCCTAAACTGCTGTTCCCACCTCTATTTTCCTCTTCCATTAGTCGTATTTTACTATCGTTTCAGATCTTTAAAAATATATTTAGATGCTTACTTACGTAGTTTTAAATATATGGTAATGTTTGTACTTTGTATTTAAAAAGAAAATATATTAAATATATGAAAGTAGTTCAAAACCTCCCAGATTTTCTCAATTAATGGCTCTCTTAGTATCTTAGTGATTATTTCATGGCCTCCATAGGCCAGGAGAATACCTAACAGTTTCATCTAATTAGAGTTAGATACAAACAAGTAGTTATGTCCTAAAAGCTTAGTAGCTATGTAAAACATTATACATATACATTGCAAGGAAAATAGTATTTTCAGTTCGTTCTTAAACAACCACATTTATTAATAATGGGTGCCTATTGGGCACCCCTAGGATCATATTGGACACCACCATGCTCATTGCTTGTTGCACATCTATTTTTGTGTGGTACTTGCTTATTATCACAGCAACTGGTAGAAACCAAGCTTTGCAAATATGTATATTTGACATCAAGAGGAATATAGCACATCCAGATGTGGTGGCTCCCACCTGTAGTCCTAGCCCTTTGGGAGACTAAGGCAGGAGGATTTCTTGAGCCCAGGCATTTGAGACCAGCCTGGGCAACATAAGAAGCCCTGCCTCTCTCTCTCTCTCTCCATATATATATATATATATATATATATTTTGCAAAATCTAATATTGGAACTGAGTACTCCTTTGAGTTCATAATTCACATGGTACTGACTGACATCTACTATGGTTGTGTTTCTCTGTGGCGGTTTAGTGCACAATTTGAGAACTAATTGTAGTTATAGTGATAAATTTTGCAGTTTCCTTTTCTTTATCCCACAGTGTGCCTTAGAGATCTGTCCATGTTACACATAAAACACTGCTGCAGAATCATCCAGAATACGAACAGACCACAGTCTGTGTACCCATTTTCCTGATGATGGCCATTAATGTTATTTCTAATATTTTGTAATTTTATATAATATTGCAGTGAAAATTCTTGTTGGGTACCTCTTTGTTCACATGGTGTGTTAGAGAATAAAGAAATTACTGGACAATATGCCTGTCAGATTTTTTTGTTTAACTTTCCTTTTTTTTTTTTTTTTTGAGATGGAGTCTCATTCTTGTGGCCCAGGCTGGAGTACAATGGCGTGATATTGGCGTGATGACATGATCTTGGCCTGATCCTGCCTCAGCCTCCTGAGTAGCTGAGAATACAGGTGCCTGCTATCACGCCTGGCTAATTTTTGTATTTTTAGTAGAGATGGGGTTTCACCATGTTGGTCAAGCTGGTGGCAAACTCCTGACCTCCAGTGATCTGCCCACCTTGGCCTCCAAAAATGCTGGGATTACAGGCATGAGCCACTGTGTCTAGACTTTTAACTTTTAAGTTAGGGGTACATGTGCAGGTTTATTACATAGGTAAACTTGCATCATAGGTGTTTGTTGTACAGATTATTTCATCACACAGGTACTAAGCCTAGTTTCCATTAGTTATTTTGCCTGATCCTCTCCCTCCTCCCACAGTCCACCCTCCAGTAGGCCCCAGTGTGTGTTGTTCCCCTCTATGTGTCCATATGTTCTCATCATTTAGCTCCCATTTATAAGTGAGAACATATGGTATTGGTATTTGGTTTTCTGTTCCTGTGTTAGTGGTTTAATGAATACTAACAAGTTGAACTTGGCCCTCTTTGAATAACTGATTTCCTATCATTCCTTGAAACATTATTATTGCTGGCTTATTCTTCCTAGTACTCTATGCCCTTGACTATCCCTCTGGGGGAGAATAGCTGTCCTGAAAAATGTGTAATGATTACGTTGTAGAAGTGGGTAACAGACACACCAGGCCCGAAAGGCAAAGGTAGGTTGTGAATAGGTTAAAAGGAAAAGGATGATAGAAACTGATCTGAAACTGCAAGGTGTATTTCTTAGGACAACAAAGAGGCCAGTTTAATTAGAGGAAATAATTTATTTAGGACACAGATGGCAAATACCTTGCAGGCATGCCTTACATGTTCCCTATTCCCTCCGTGGCAGACATAGCCAATCTATAGTGGCATGACAGACAAAGCCAATCCATCATGGCACTCATTCTCTCAGAGCCTGCACCTGGTTTTGGTATCCTCTTCACAGCCCTGGTATGGGTACACATAATGAAAATGACTTTTCACCCCTGGATTCAGAGACAAGTTGGAGAAGCAGGTTGAAGTTAGACAAGAAAGGGCTGAGGAGTTCAAAGAATGCCAAGCAAGAAGAATTTTGAAAACATATTTATATTTTGGACTTTATTAGCAAAATGACTGGTGATTCTCCTCTGCAAAGCAATAGCAGTAAGTATTGATCTCTTGCTGCTATTTGTTTTCTTATTTTAGTTATAAATGTTCCTATTTATTTCTAGAACAGTAATTTAATCACCAGGGGCCTCTTATTCTTCTTCTCCATGAAGTACATATATTAAAAGATGTGGTCTACCAATTAAACTGTACCTATTAAATAACAATAACAACAGCTGCAGCAGCCAACAAGCATTTCATTATTTTCACATCACGCACTGTGTATATTACATTTGTTAACTTTAAAAATCCTCACAACAGCCCTATGAGGTGGGGTGTGATTACTGTTCCCATTGTATACTTGAGGAAACCGAGACACAGAGAGATTAAGCATCTTGTACCAAGTTTATAGCTAGTAAGTGATATAATCAATGAGTTTTCCACTGTTCAGTTATAACTGTATAACTTCTGATTTGAAGGAGAGAACGAGGGTCGCCAAATGAGTTGATATAATATTAACCAGAAGCAAAAAGACTTGCTTTCTCAGTTTGTCTGTGTAACCTGGTCAGAGGTAAATATGTGGTGTTTTTTTGGTTAGACTTTCCATAATGTTGAGACACTTATAAGAGTCCCATTATTGTTTTTGAAGACTTCAGAGATCTGACACCCTCAGTGGTTTCTAGATGAGAAACCACTAGTTTGATGATTCAGTTTCTCAGCTCCTGAGAAAGTAGGGAGTGTTCACCAAGAAGAATGTACATTTTATAGCAAGTGATCAGCTAGGAGGCCATGCAGCTGAGAGGTTAACGGCCCGTGCACTAGAATCCTGCTGCATGGCTGGCTTCACTGTTTATTAGCAGAGCGACCTTAGGCAAGCTGTTTAACACCCTGAGCCCCAGGCTTCTCATTTATAAGTGGAGTGGTAGAAAGGACTATATAAGAAAACACATGGAAATGTTTGAATGGCACTTGACATTTAGTAAGCACTCAACAAATGCTAGCTCTTATTATGGTTATGTATTTACATCAAAGAATATGGATAATGCAGGACCTGAGGTTTACTGGATAACACAAAGGGGGTGGTACAAAAGCTCAATGGATGGTAAGTTTGCTCTTCTGATTTCCTCTCTGGCATCAAGCAGGTGGGGTGCCTCGAGAGAGAGGTCCCTGACCTCAGGGTGGATACCCCCTGTATCATCTCTAAACTACAGGTGTATAACGTGACTCTAACTGACATTCTGTGAGCAGTTTCAGGGACCTCATGGTTAGTGATCTCAAGAGCTGCCTGGCTTTCAGCATGTCAAAGTGATCTTTGTATGGGCCGTGGAGAGGGCCAGCCACCGGGACCAGTGTGGTGCCTACTTCAAATGCCTGTCAGTAACATGGTTCTGAGCTCTCCTGGTCTTTTGACTTCTTTGTTTTCTGATAGAGCTGATTTTTCTTCTTGATGACCTCAGGCCTCTGAAAATGAGATATTTAAGATCATTTTCCCCTCCCTACTGTAGATGAAGAATTGCCTCTGCATGTGGTAGGGATAGTGCCAGAGTGGCCCAATATTCCTTTTAAGGGAATTTGGCCTGGAAGCAGGACTGGATGCTGATGCTGTCTTGGACTGTGACTCTTTGAGGTCGTGGATGTCAAGTGCTAAAAGTCTTTCACTGAATCATGGAGCTCAAAGAATCACTTAGGAGTCAATTAGGGGTACTAGAACATCCCATTTGAGTGCATATTCTCTCTCTTGTCCCTCTCTCCTAGCAACTATCTGACTCACATATTACTTGAAAAATGTTGACTCTGTAATTTATATCCTTGTCTGTACTATGATTATTGCCAAGTTGTTTATGTTGGTCTTCAGGGTGTGGAATGCTGAAGTATCTATGGAAACTGAGGCTGTACTTTGGAATTCCTTTTAGTTATTAGGTATGCAGTGTATGGTCCTGCAATTTGACCCCTGATCTCTGCTTTTTTTTCCCTCCCTAGCACTGGCTTGAACCTAACAAGTCCATCTTCAAGCAAATGAAATGTAAGTGTCAATCTGTGACTTTACTTTTGCTACAATGTGTCCAAAGATAGATACTGTTTCCTGAAATACTTTCTCCTGCCAGGGGAAAACTAGGTAGAGTTGAAGAGGTGTTGGGGGGAGTGGGGGCTTCTCTCTCCCTGGGAGAGCTCTGTATCTTCTCCCCTCTTTTTCTATGACCCTCATCTGCACCAGAAGTCACTATTCCTGTAGTCTCCTGGGCCTCTCCCCCTCCCCACCATCTTGCCTTTATATTTGATATTTGAACAGGGGCTTTGGAATTGGATGGTTAAATATCTCTTAAATACAATCACCAGCTATCGGGTTCCTTTTGATTATGAGGGTTGCTAGTCAGTGGTTAAGGGTGGGAGGGGGTGCAGTATTAAGGGAGATGGGAGAAGCAGATGTGTTTGGAAACTAAAATCTTAACAACTTTGCTGAAGACTGTATCATCCTTTTCCCTTCCTTGAACTCCCAAAAATGAAATAAAAACATTTATTTTTCCTGGGTAATTGTTTTAAATCTCTGGTGTTCTGAACAACTTCCTCCTCCTCCTCTCCTCCTCCTCCTCTTCCTCCTTCTTCTTCTTCTTCGTCTTCTTCTTCTTTTCCTCCTCCTCCTCCTCCTCCTCCTCCTCCTCCTCTTCTTCTTCTTCCTCTTCTTCTTCTTCTTCTTCTTCTTCTTCTTCTTCTTCTTCTTCTTCTTCTTCTTCTTTTTCTTCTTCTTCTTCTTCTTCTTCTCCTTCTTCTTCTTCTTCTTCTTCTTCTTCTTCTTCTTCTTCTTCTTCTTCTTCTTCTTCTTCTTCTTCTTCTTCTTCTTCTTCCTTCTTCTTCTCCTTCTTCTTCTTCCTTCTTCCTTCTTCTTCTTCTTTTTTTACCAGTGAGCTCTTGGGAAATTGGCTTGGGTAACAACATCTCTCTAGTTGTCCACCTGGACCCGACCCTATGAGGAGGGTGTTGATTGGTGGTCCTGGGTAACATGATGTTTTGTTCTGGCTTCTCATGGTAGGCTGTAGCCAACCTGCTTTTATTTATGGTTTGGAGGAGAACTTCTGAAATGCACATTTATTGCCTGCCCCAAATCCATTTGTCCCTCCACATCTACTTTCCCAGGGCTCTGAAATGCAGGTGATAAATCAGTTTCTCATCAGAGATCCAGTTAGTGCATATTATGTCACTTGTCATCATTCAAGGGATTCTTTCCTTTTTCAAATATGAAGAAATTATTCTGGGCAGGGTTTTCAGGTGAAAGAAGGAAGAAACTGAACATGGACTACAAACTTGTGGCCAACGTATCTCTTCTTTAACTTTCTTCTTTTTCTCTGCCCCTCTGTCCCTTTCTCCCACTTTTCCTCCCTTCTCATTCTTCCTTCCCTCGTTCCTTTTCTTTTCCTTCTCCTCCCTCTTCCATCCTTTAAGAGAAAACTCTGGCTAGTAAGTGTTCAGATTGCACAAGTGCAGTGGTGGGCGTGGGAAGTCCATGGAGGCCAGGCTTCTGGGGCAAGGCAGGAACAGAGTTGGGGTGGGGCAGGAGCAGAATTGGGGCAAGACTGGAACAGAGTTGGGATGTGCATCCAAACAGAAGTCGTAGGACAGAGGTCCCAGGAGGCTGCATATGGTATGATATGCAGGATAATGAAAATGAGCTAAAACGCTTGAGAGAAAATAGCTGATTCCTAGCTTTTGTCCTTTAACTACAAAATGTTGATATTTTTGTTTATATATTTGAAAATATTTAGACTGTTTTCCAGTATATTAAATTGTTCTTTGACTTTGATTCTTATTAAATAAATGCCATGCAGTATTTTCCTTTCGTTCTTAAGCCATACCCAGTTTTGAAATAGAAATTTATCTTTAAAGGCATTTCAATACTTAACAGAAGCAAAAATTTAAACTTTGTGAGAAATTCAGTGTTTAAGAGCATTGTCTCTATAATACAGCAAATCTGAACAACCAACTAAAATGCATAATGACTTTTTTTTTTTTTTTCAGACAGAGTCTCACTCTGTCACCCAGGCTGGAGTGCAGTAGTGCAGTCTCGGCTCACTGCAATCTCTGCCTCCCAGGTTTAAGCAATTCTTATGCCTCGGCCTCCTGAGTAGCTGGGACTACAGGTGCACACCACCATGCCTGGCTAATTTTTATATTTTTGGTAGAGACCGGGTTTCGCCATGTTGGCCAGTCTGGTCTCGAACTCCTGACCTCGTGATCTGCCCACCTTGGCCTTCCAAAGTGCTGGGATTACAGGTGTGAGCCATTCCACCCACCCTAAAATGCATAATGTTTTGTTAGAACAGTATAAAGATTGGCATTTGACTGCTGGCCAGTTTTAATCTAATGACAAATGAAATCTCAATCTGGATAATAGAATTGTATAAAATTCAGTGTCTGAACCAGACAGGGTAACTCAATGATTCTAGAACTGCAAGGGTCTTACCCATTACCCAATCCCTGCTGTATTGCTGAACACATTACCGATCAGAAAATTGTGTAATTTTCTCAAGATCCCAAACCTGGTTTATTGTGTTATTGATGATTATGAAGAATTTCTGTGTTCTTGTACATATGCCCTAGAAATATTAACTTTACTCTAAATTAGAAAAATTTTAAACTAAGGCTTTTATATTGTTAATCCAGAGAAACCACGTTCAACCTCAGGGACTCATTCATGACTTTAGCAAAAGGGTCTGGTCACAGAGCCCAGTGGCGTCCTCCTTTTATGCTCATATCACCATTCAGGAGGCAATGGCTGCAGAATTCCTTGGAGGACCTGTTTCTCATTTACAGAGGATGATGGACATTCAGGTCCTTCTCTCTGACCCTTCTAAGATCCTTCTGACTATGGGTGTTCCCAGGAATGATGTTTCCCAGCATTGGCTGAAGGTCAGCTATCCTGATTAACAAACCTTGTACAAAGGCATTATTATTTTTTTACTAGTTTTAAGAAAATATCATGTATGTTTTTTCAAACAGTTTAGAAAGATTTAAAATGTAGACAAAAACTATTTCCTTGCTCCTCCCCCTATAGCAAGCTCACCCCAAAGAAATAACAATTGCTAACAATATTTTGTGTATCCTTCCAATAATTTTTTTTTGAGACGGAGTTTCGCTGTTGTTACCCAGATTGGAGCGCAATGGCATGATCTCAGCTCACCGCAACCTCCACCTCCTGGGTTCAGGCAATTCTCCTGCCTCAGCCTCCTGAGTAGCTGGGATTACAGGCACGCGCCACCATGCCCAGCCAATTTTTGTATTTTTAGTAGAGACAGGGTTTCACCATGTTGACCAGGATGGTCTCAATCTCTTGACCTTGTGATCTACCTGCCTCGGCCTCCCAAAGTGCTGGGATTATAGGTGTGAGCTACCGCACCCGACCAGAATTTTTACAAATATATACAATCCCCCAACATATGTAAGTCCTTGATTAACAGCAATGAGACCAATCTCTGTATATTATTCTTCACTTTGTTATTTTTTCTTGACTAATTGTGGAAATTTTAAAATATTAGTAATTGATTATTGACCTGATTTAAAAATGGTTTTCTGAGTTAATTGTATGCATGTATGTTATTTATTTATTTATTTTTGAGACAAAGTCTCACTCTGTTGCCCAAACTGGAGTGCAGTGGTGTGATCTTGGCTCACTGCAATTTCTGCCTCCTTAGTTCAAGATATTCTCCTGCTTCAGCCTCCCTGAGTAGCTGGGATTACAGGCATGCACCACAACACCTGGCTAATTTTTGTATTTTTAGTAGAGACAGGGTTTTGCCATATTGGCTAGGCTGGTCTTGAACTCTTGACCTCAGGTGATCAACCTGACTCGGCCTCCCAAAGTGCTGGGATTACAGGTGTAATCCCTTAATGTATTGATTAAGAGACATAAAGGTGGTTTTGGTGGTTTCTGGTATTTTGCTATTATAAATTATACTGCAATAAACTTGCTGTATACACTATTGCATCTTGTAAAAGTACATCTGTGCTAGAAATTTCTAGAAATGAAATAATTAGATCTAAAGATACATACATTTTAAAATTTTTTGGTGATAAATATCTAGTCAAGGAGCTTGTAGCCATTTGAATTTAATGACACAAAATGTTATAAAGAAATCTAATGACACAGTCTAACTCCCATAAATGTTACCTGAGAATGCTTGCTTCTACAAAACTTGTTGAAAATAGGGATAATTCAATTTATTTTTCTGGGCAATTTCAAGCTTATGAAGGAAGAGAACGGTCTGTTTACTTGAAAAACTAATTAATTACACAGTTACTAATTTGGCATACATTTTTACATTAAGGAATTTCTTAAATCAAAATCTTATCTACTCTTAACTTAGAAGAGATGGTAATATTTTAATTTTTGAATTAACATATGGTAAAATTGATTTATTTTTGTGTGCCATTCTGTGAGCCTTTACTCATAGATTTTCATGACCACCACCACGGACAGGATGCCAAACAGGAACAGTGCTCTGGTTTTCATCACCCCAAAATCTGCCTGTGCTGTGCCTTTGTGGGGATATCACTGCCTTCTAGCCACTCACAACCACTGGTCTGTTTCATGCCAGTATAGTTTTCTTTTTAAAAAATATAATTTAAATGGAATCATACAGGATACAATTTTTGAGATCAGCTTTTAAACACAGGATAATAACTCTGAAGTTGATCCAAGTTGCTGGTTTATCAGTATATAATAGAAGAAGACAATGAAAATAGTCTTTGAAAATATCAATAAAATTGCTGAATTTTTAGCAAAATGGAGGAGAGAAAAAAAAGAGGGAGAAGGCATAAATTACCAATATCAGGAACAGAAGAAGGAACGTTGCTGCAGATCCCACAGAACAACTCTGGGCACAGACAGCTTAGATGAAACAGATCCTTCCTCATGACTTACCAAATCTCACACCAAATAAACTATATAATTTGAGTAGTCTTGTAACTATTAAAGAAATTAGGCTTAAGATCTTTCAGAAAAGAAATCTCCAGCACCCTTGCTGTTGCTAC